TTCTCGATAACTTTGATCAGGCTGGCTGGCAGTCAGAATCTATTATTGGTCGGAATTTCTACAGAGCCAAACCTCTTAAGAATATTCTATGTCTATAAACAAGTGTCAAATGATTTCGAAAACTATTTTAGTTTTGCACCGGATGAATTTTCAGGAAACTAATAAAAAAGAAACCCAACATGAGTTTAGGGATCGCTTGTCATTCCCAGGCGAACAAAGTGTTTGCATAAGATTTATTGTTGAAAAGCTGATTTATAAACGCCTTTCCGATTGGGATTCTTGATTTGCCTGAAGGTCTGAGGCTATAACTATTTATGTGAACACAAATCCCCTATGGGTCTTTTATATGACAAAAAAGAATTAAGACCGACTTTCGTGGTACAGCTGCATAAACAGAGTTAGATGTAATGGCTACTCTGCTCGCTTCACAATAAGGTTTTAACACGTCTCGACATAATGGCTCAAAAAATCTTCTGATACCTGGTATAGATAGTTATTTGGTCAAACCAGTCACGGTGGATTTAATAAATATACTCTTACCAATATTAAAAGTACGAAGGGAACCTGGCTCTCTAAGGCTGAACCATACGTCAACTCCAACGCTTTCGAAAGGCTACCTGCTATCGCTTGGGGGTTCGAGTTCACTTGTTTATATTGAAGAGCTTTCTTAGTGTGGGGTCATACGCTTAGAGTCACTATCGGCGCTGAGTAGAAGGGACCATATATTTCAAGGTGAGGGTTATTTTAAAATTTGAATGCCTTGTATTGCACTGTTTAAAGTTACTGCTAATAACCTCATTGGTCAGTTGGAGGACTCAAATTAGGAAAATGTGACTTTTGTTCTCTTAACGGCTCAGCTGGTCAGAAGTAAATTGCTCCATTCCCCGAAAACTTGCATCGCAGCCTGTTTCTTTATGGTTTAAGTCTAACATTCAATAAACAGGTGTAGAAAGCTAAAATTATGATTGTCTCCAGAAAAGTTAACTTATATTAGGTGGACAAAGTTAGCGACTTTTTTCCCTACCAATTCAAAAACACGTCGAAGCCGGTGACCGAGTAAAGAAAGGTTCACAAATTTCCCAAGTCAATTCTTCATTGAAACGCATCATATAATATAATCAGGATGTACCCGATATTATTTTTTGACTTTTTCAGACTCTCGATTTATATGAGTACACAGTAAATATGTTAAGAGACAGCACTTAACTGTCCTTTGGTCTTTTCATAGTCTCCAAGTTCCTAGTTTAAGCAAACTTAGAATAATGCAATAACACTCTTAATTCTGGCGTTTTCTTCTCATACATTATGTCCAGTAGTCCGGTTGTTCATTTTGACAGAACTGCGGTTGAAACCAGCCATTGCGCGCGAAATGTTGCTATTTTTATAAATGTCGTTCAACCCAGTTCCTCCAAGATGGTTTATCTTTCGTTTTTCCTCGTAATATTGGAAAATATGTCTAAGATTCTTCCCATTTCATTATTTGTTTGTTTCGTTCGGAAAAGGTAAAATACATCGAGATGTCAAAAAAAGGTCGTGTTATACAGTTTATTTCTAAGGGTTTCAGCTATCGCAAACGACAAGATTTTTTTTAAGTAGAAAATTCTAATAGAAAATTGCAAGAAAATTAAGGACAGCATATGCTACAAACAGTCTCCAATTGTGTGGAAATTCAGTGGCAATTCGTAAGAAAAACGAGCATTATTGTCCTCGAACACGCGATAGAGAAATCAGAGAATTCAATTCGGATTAAAAGAGCACTTAAGGGCTCAAAGTTCACCTATTAAATGACTCTTAGCTTAAACAACTATCGCTTCAAGGTTTGGTTTACTGAGATGTCTATTTAAGAGAAAAAGTCGGTGGCTTAAAATTCATAACCTTCATAATTCCTCTAAAGAATAGCCTTAGTGATCTACTGCCACCAAAACCAAGGAAAACAAAAAGAGCCATTTTAGAACGCAGAAAAACCCTGTTAGAAAAAGTGGATTTACAACCCTTCAAAACCTTAGGAAAGTGTATAAGCGTCGCTGACACTTCTCCCTTAAATGACGAAAACACTAGAAAGGTTCCCGTAATCTTTTGTTGAATCTTCCAGCGTTGTTTAATTTATCTGGGATATTTTTGTTACTTCTTCTAGCTCGCTAAGCTCAATTAAACAAAAACAAAAAGCTTTAAGGCAACCTGGCAGAATTCTTAGGGAACGGGTGACCTGACGCTGAGCTTGTTCCTAAACCAAAGAAAAATTCCGGAATGCGTTTTGTAAAATATCAAACACGAAAGGCTGCGTTTGACCACATTTCTAAACACCGAGAAGAAAGTTGAAAATACGACGCGTAGCGGAGCATTTTTCACGAATTTCGGAGTGTTTGGAAATGTGGTCAAACATGGCCTTGAGTGAATGATATATCTTCTCAGTCGAAACTAAAACTACGGCCGCGGAGAAATAGAATCTTAAAAATCTATGCAAGTTAAGATCAGATATCCAAACACCGTCAGGGCCTTGATTTTGATGAATTATCAATCAGTTTGAGATAAACATCAAAACACGTAGTAAGCTCTGACAGTGTGGGGCACGTTAGCTCAAGTACGACTCTACATATTTTCTTCAGTTTCCATAAAGTTCGTTTTTTTGTTCTAGACTACTAAACATTTGCTTCCCAATTATGAAATGAATGGCAGAACGAAAAGCGGAAGACCTTATCGCTATGTAAAGATTATATTAAAGTGTAAAGTTAAGCCAGAGATAAAGTGATATATCTGAAATTATAATCCATCAAATATTTTCGCTCGTGTGCGGTTGGTCTAAAAGCGTCACATGACCAGATATTACCCAGCTAAAACTGGGGAATATCCGAGAATATTCCTCAATTTTCAAAACTTCGCGTGTTGCGAAAAATATTTGAAGGATAATAAACACAATATTTAGCCTCCATTTGGCTTTCAAAATATGCTCGGATATTTGTCCTTGGACATTATCTGTTCCTCGAAGCTCACAGTTTTCCGAGAGCGTAGTTCGAGGAAACCTGTGAGCTTCGAGGAACAGATAATGTCCAAGGACAAATATCCGAGCATATTTTCGCGCCAAATGGCCCTATTGTTTATANGGTGTTAATTGCATTTGCACAGTGTAACACTCGAAACTTCGTCGATATGAGTAATCTATTGGACAACCCATTAATGAAATATTTATTTCTTATTTTTATTCTATTTTGGGGGGTGGTCCGTAGAGGGGGTCCGTAACGGTAGTCCGTGGACCGGTCCACGGGTAGTCCACGGACCCAGTCCATAGTGGGGGTCCGCGGACCGGGGGTCAGTATTTTCGGGTAAAATAAAAAGATAAAAAACCATTTTAGTGAATGAGTTCGTAATTAATATACCCGTAGATGGTGAAGATACAAGTGAATTTATGAAAGATCATATATTCAGTGAATTGTGAAGAAAGATAAAAAAATAGGATTAATTTCACAACTGCTTAAGTTGTGTGTATAACTGCGGTGATCAGTCCTGTCTCCATAAGTAGTTTATGCCGGTAGAATTGAGATAGAAGCAACAATGTGAATTAGTCCACTGACTTTCAGTTGGGTAAGACTTTGCCATCCTACTCTTGAAAGCTTTTTCTCTCGCAATCTTAAAAAGCGGATTTACTCTGAAATGGCGAAACTTTCAGTAGCTGTTCATGCATCTCTCGAGGAAATGTTGATTGACATTGCCTTTTCAAGAACATTATGATCGGCCTGAGTTTTGCTTCAAAAGCAAAATTCCGGTTAACACCCTAATAAATGGCTAAGAATAATATTACCAAAAACGGCTTAAAAGATGCCACAGAAACACGAGTAACACTATTGTCTTATACCCAATCCTACCTTTCTGGTACGTTTCGGCGGCATATCAGCATAGCATAGCAGGCTAGTTTGGTCGAGCCATGTTGGTATTTTGGCGAATGTACGTTATCGTTCGACAGTTTCAAATCAAATGGAATATCTTTCTGTCCCTCATTTTACTAGCCTTCACGTAGATCATACCTCCTGGACGACAAAAAACATCCGACCTTCACCAGCCATTCATGATTTCCTTTATCGCCCAATACCAGGGCCTGCGTACGCCAAAGAATTCAAAATGGCGCTGAAATAATTCGCGCGTGACCAACCAACGGGCGAAAAATCCTTGAACCTTGAATATATTCGACTGTCCCAGGGCAGAATTGCTCCCACATAATCAGAAAATTAATAATAGAGGGCATTTACTGTCCGATTGAAACTCGAACTCCCTTATATACGAGAGGCACCGTGATGTTAACAAATTTTAATGACCCTACCCTTTCGAATGTATTCACCTCAAAAGGTTTAAGGCAAAATAGGATATTCCATAATTGTTTAAAATAGTAAAGCAGTAGCGACTTAAGGGGTTGTTTCTGAGAAGGCCGAGTTCTTTAGTTGTTAGTCATAAACCTTAATTATTAATACGCAGTTACTATATGAGGCCATATGACCAGCCAGCAACCGGTCCATAATTGACTAAATGCCTGGAAGTCTGAAATTTTCGAGGCTTTTCGGCGAAAAGCATTATTCAAATCCTTTGAAAGTATGTTATGTTTGTTTGGAAGTGCGCAGCGATCCCTAAAATTATTTTGGTTATATCTAGTGGACAAATTTCTCGAGCTTGAGCTTGCAATAAAATCCCCTTGTTCTCGATAACTTTGATCAGGCTGGCTGGCAGTCAGAATCTATTATTGGTCGGAATTTCTACAGAGCCAAACCTCTTAAGAATATTCTATGTCTATAAACAAGTGTCAAATGATTTCGAAAACTATTTTAGTTTTGCACCGGATGAATTTTCAGGAAACTAATAAAAAAGAAACCCAACATGAGTTTAGGGATCGCTTGTCATTCCCAGGCGAACAAAGTGTTTGCATAAGATTTATTGTTGAAAAGCTGATTTATAAACGCCTTTCCGATTGGGATTCTTGATTTGCCTGAAGGTCTGAGGCTATAACTATTTATGTGAACACAAATCCCCTATGGGTCTTTTATATGACAAAAAAGAATTAAGACCGACTTTCGTGGTACAGCTGCATAAACAGAGTTAGATGTAATGGCTACTCTGCTCGCTTCACAATAAGGTTTTAACACGTCTCGACATAATGGCTCAAAAAATCTTCTGATACCTGGCATAGATAGTTATTTGGTCAAACCAGTCACGGTGGATTTAATAAATATACTCTTACCAATATTAAAAGTACGAAGGGAACCTGGCTCTCTAAGGCTGAACCATACGTCAACTCCAACGCTTTCGAAAGGCTACCTGCTATCGCTTGGGGGTTCGAGTTCACTTGTTTATATTGAAGAGCTTTCTTAGTGTGGGGTCATACGCTTAGAGTCACTATCGGCGCTGAGTAGAAGGGACCATATATTTCAAGGTGAGGGTTATTTTAAAATTTGAATGCCTTGTATTGCACTGTTTAAAGTTACTGCTAATAACCTCATTGGTCAGTTGGAGGACTCAAATTAGGAAAATGTGACTTTTGTTCTCTTAACGGCTCAGCTGGTCAGAAGTAAATTGCTCCATTCCCCGAAAACTTGCATCGCAGCCTGTTTCTTTATGGTTTAAGTCTAACATTCAATAAACAGGTGTAGAAAGCTAAAATTATGATTGTCTCCAGAAAAGTTAACTTATATTAGGTGGACAAAGTTAGCGACTTTTTTCCCTACCAATTCAAAAACACGTCGAAGCCGGTGACCGAGTAAAGAAAGGTTCACAAATTTCCCAAGTCAATTCTTCATTGAAACGCATCATATAATATAATCAGGATGTACCCGATATTATTTTTTGACTTTTTCAGACTCTCGATTTATATGAGTACACAGTAAATATGTTAAGAGACAGCACTTAACTGTCCTTTGGTCTTTTCATAGTCTCCAAGTTCCTAGTTTAAGCAAACTTAGAATAATGCAATAACACTCTTAATTCTGGCGTTTTCTTCTCATACATTATGTCCAGTAGTCCGGTTGTTCATTTTGACAGAACTGCGGTTGAAACCAGCCATTGCGCGCGAAATGTTGCTATTTTTATAAATGTCGTTCAACCCAGTTCCTCCAAGATGGTTTATCTTTCGTTTTTCCTCGTAATATTGGAAAATATGTCTAAGATTCTTCCCATTTCATTATTTGTTTGTTTCGTTCGGAAAAGGTAAAATACATCGAGATGTCAAAAAAAGGTCGTGTTATACAGTTTATTTCTAAGGGTTTCAGCTATCGCAAACGACAAGATTTTTTTTAAGTAGAAAATTCTAATAGAAAATTGCAAGAAAATTAAGGACAGCATATGCTACAAACAGTCTCCAATTGTGTGGAAATTCAGTGGCAATTCGTAAGAAAAACGAGCATTATTGTCCTCGAACACGCGATAGAGAAATCAGAGAATTCAATTCGGATTAAAAGAGCACTTAAGGGCTCAAAGTTCACCTATTAAATGACTCTTAGCTTAAACAACTATCGCTTCAAGGTTTGGTTTACTGAGATGTCTATTTAAGAGAAAAAGTCGGTGGCTTAAAATTCATAACCTTCATAATTCCTCTAAAGAATAGCCTTAGTGATCTACTGCCACCAAAACCAAGGAAAACAAAAAGAGCCATTTTAGAACGCAGAAAAACCCTGTTAGAAAAAGTGGATTTACAACCCTTCAAAACCTTAGGAAAGTGTATAAGCGTCGCTGACACTTCTCCCTTAAATGACGAAAACACTAGAAAGGTTCCCGTAATCTTTTGTTGAATCTTCCAGCGTTGTTTAATTTATCTGGGATATTTTTGTTACTTCTTCTAGCTCGCTAAGCTCAATTAAACAAAAACAAAAAGCTTTAAGGCAACCTGGCAGAATTCTTAGGGAACGGGTGACCTGACGCTGAGCTTGTTCCTAAACCAAAGAAAAATTCCGGAATGCGTTTTGTAAAATATCAAACACGAAAGGCTGCGTTTGACCACATTTCTAAACACCGAGAAGAAAGTTGAAAATACGACGCGTAGCGGAGCATTTTTCACGAATTTCGGAGTGTTTGGAAATGTGGTCAAACATGGCCTTGAGTGAATGATATATCTTCTCAGTCGAAACTAAAACTACGGCCGCGGAGAAATAGAATCTTAAAAATCTATGCAAGTTAAGATCAGATATCCAAACACCGTCAGGGCCTTGATTTTGATGAATTATCAATCAGTTTGAGATAAACATCAAAACACGTAGTAAGCTCTGACAGTGTGGGGCACGTTAGCTCAAGTACGACTCTACATATTTTCTTCAGTTTCCATAAAGTTCGTTTTTTTGTTCTAGACTACTAAACATTTGCTTCCCAATTATGAAATGAATGGCAGAACGAAAAGCGGAAGACCTTATCGCTATGTAAAGATTATATTAAAGTGTAAAGTTAAGCCAGAGATAAAGTGATATATCTGAAATTATAATCCATCAAATATTTTCGCTCGTGTGCGGTTGGTCTAAAAGCGTCACATGACCAGATATTACCCAGCTAAAACTGGGGAATATCCGAGAATATTCCTCAATTTTCAAAACTTCGCGTGTTGCGAAAAATATTTGAAGGATAATAAACACAATATTTAGCCTCCATTTGGCTTTCAAAATATGCTCGGATATTTGTCCTTGGACATTATCTGTTCCTCGAAGCTCACAGTTTTCCGAGAGCGTAGTTCGAGGAAACCTGTGAGCTTCGAGGAACAGATAATGTCCAAGGACAAATATCCGAGCATATTTTCGCGCCAAATGGCCCTATTGTTTATATATACCAACTTTTAAAATAAAGATGAAGCAGATGGATCAAGGAATGTGGTTCTGGTACGCCTTCTTCGGCTCCGCCACACTACGCCGGAGAAATTCGAAAACGGCCGCGTTTTCACTCTGAAAAGGCATGAAGTGTTTTCCTTCCACACTACGCCAGAGAACTTCGAAAAAGCATTAATCACCGGTCATTGTGGCTTTGCGTTTGAGGAAAACCCGGGCAGGGAAATCACGTGATTATCGTGACGTCATCGTTTTCGAAAAGTTGCGTTTCAAAATGTTTTTCGTCCACACGAAAAGGAAAAGCCCGGTGGTGTTTTTAAATTCCTCCGCTTTGAAGAGCGTTTGCGAAAAGCTCCGTTTTCGTGAGGGATTAGTGTGGACGGTAGGCCTAAACGTAGAAATATATTTGCGTTTTCAAATTTCTCCGGCGTAGTGTGGACGGGGCGCAACTTTAAGACGTTTGCAATATTGTCTTGCAGTGTTTGCTTCCCAAGAAACAATACAGATCTGTGTCAAAATGACTGTCAAGATTTCTTTAATCGCGGTAAGAGAAAATTTTAAGCTACCTTATATTGGTTCATTAGTACAAATTATCACTGAACAGCTCTTTCGTGATCATGTTTTCATGATAAAATGCTTACCTTTTAATCATGACACCACAATACAAGTAACGATATCTACCATTAGAGAGCCATCTTTTCAATTTTACTTTTTCATCACCAGGCCAGAACTTTAGCAAGTGGCCAAGACAGCTCACACAAATCGTTCAAAAGTATCCCAGAACAAAAGCAAAAATCTGTACAAAAAGCCCAAACAAGCAATATCCTAAATTAGAAGTTGTACAAACAGTTATATTAAGTTTTATTATATTAAGTCTGTGTCCCTCAACTTCGATAGACAATACTAAGAAGTCAGGAGTTCAAGGTACTCTAGTAGTTCAAATTGCAGACTATACAATAATAGGAAACGACTTGCTGTCCACAACTGAGATAAAAAGTCCACTATCGGACGAAAGATAAGTTGCGGACACTGTAAATAATTTTTTGATTGATGTGACGCACATCGTCAATTTTGTTTGTTTTCGATGTATGGCTTGAAAATCTCTTATAAACGATAACGATGTCAATTCGTTCAATTTGAAGTCGCATTGACTAACAAGAAACAAAAAGAGGAGTGAACTGAGTGACCTACAACCTTGCCACTCGACAGAGACCTCTATAATTTTTGTTACATATCGTTATATCCTTTTTCATTATTTTCTGGTGGCTTTGATTTTACTCATGTAAACTTAAGAAGGGTGGATAGCGTGGAAGAAACAGCAACAAACTCTCGCAAAAAGTATATTATTAAAAAAATGTAATACTTATTTGAGAACTCCTTAACTTCACTTTCCACATTTTGGTTGATCTTTTACGTCCCTTTCCTCTTCAATATACATGCAGTGCTGAAGTTAATTACCTTCTTATTCAATTGTTTCTATGTAGTCCATGTTGTTCTTGTGTGGTTGCCTTCTTGTGGTTATTCCACCTGCGTTGAGCATACGTTGCTATCGCATGGTATGTGAAGGCGAGTATTGTTATGGGGACGTGGGGGAAGTGGAATGCCAAGGCGCCGACGACGACATGTGCGGTACTCTAACCTTTACAACAGAAGGCGCCTTCCACAATGTGATTAAGAACTGCACCAGATCGACACAAGATTGCAACGAAGAGAGCACTTGTGAAAGGGTAGAGACTGTCGTAGCGGAATGGGGTGTATCTTTTTCGGATTGTTCGATGTCATGTTGCCAAGGTAACATGTGCAATGCACCCGAGGAGGAGTTCAAGCTGGAGGAGGAGGATGACCGTGCATTGGGGCCCATCGCTTCCATTTCCATCCATAATCAGAACAAAGCCATCAAGGCATATCACATTATGTCAGGTGAGGGGCGGTATGTTGCTCTCTCAATCCTCAGCACGAAACAAGATGGCGGCTGTACATTTTACCACAATACCATGCGAACCTTACACAGTCCATAAATTAAAAGGAAAGCCATATTTTTGCAATATTTGTCCCTGCGCTAACGACTTAGTTTTTGCTAGGTCTGAAGATGTTAGAACTTTTCTGTACTTTTTTTACCATCTTTGCTTAATTTTTCGTGCGCTAAGAATTATGGGTAGATGTACCAGTCGCCATCTTTTAATTTTTTATACGATGGATTATTCGTGTTCTTTTGGTGGCCAACCATCTTTTATGTATATATAAATTATATTCATTTGCTTCCTTTTTTGATAAAAAATAGCCTGTCAATAAACTTAATTCATACATTATTAATCAGTAACTGATTATCTGAACTCAGTTTAGTTTTATTGTTTCGTGTTATTAAGCTCATTTCGCCTCTATTAAACAATTAGATTATTCGCTCTCGATTTCTATGAGGTGATAGTTGATGAGACCTTCGGCCTCATCAACTATCACCTCATAGAAATCGAGAACGAATAATCTAATGGTTTCAGTAGAATTCTAACTGAAACAAACGGAAAAAGCGGTTTCCAATGATTTCTCTACGTGCTATTTAACTTCACTCTTTTACAAATTTGCAGTTGTTTACGCGCGTGCACCCTTGTTTTCGATCATTTCAAGTTTGTTTAAGTCAAGAAACCGTTAATGTCCTTCTTTTAGTCTTCTTAGGAATTTTTTTATTCATTTGCATCTAAAGGTTCCTCCAAAACTTCGGGAAACGTGAAAACGACGCCATTTCGTTGGCAAATGACAGCCACAGCATTCTTATGGCTGAGAGTATACGAGTACCTCAGTCTATCAGATTGCAGCATTTGCATTAGTATACTAGTAGAATTCTACTAAATCAATTTAGCATTGTTCATTTACACGACTATATCAAATGTGTAGGGAAAGGGAAAATTTCCCATTCGAAACGTCACGGAAAGAAGAAAAGCTTCTAAGATGAGGCGCTTTCAATATGATCGGTGAGTATAAGTAACCAAATAATGTGGGTCTTTTTTTTTTTAATAAGCGAGCAATTCGCAACATCATTGCTGTCGATAAATCTTCGATATTGTCTGATTTCCTATGATATATACGTTCCCTGCATACGGTTATGGAGAGCAAGTCATTTTCTATCGGGGTTGACATGTACGTTCATTTCGAACAGTAGGTGATGTCCATGTCGTTTAAATACATACTCCAAGAAACAATAAAATATATTATGGACAAACTAAGAGATGGAATTAATGTTGACAACTCATGTTGAAAACCTTACCTTATGTGGTCATGGTGTCTCAGAACAGTTTTTTTCTGGACCATACCTTATATTTTAAATTAGCTCACCAAAATTCACTAAATTTGAAACTCATTTTTTTTCAGTTCCGTAAATGTTACAAGTGTTCAAAGCTGGTAGGGTCTGCAATATACCCCCCACCCCCTGCTATTTTCAACTCCCTTCTCGGTGGTTGGAAATGTGGTCAAACGGGGTTTTTCGTGTTTGATATATTACTTAACGTTCTGAGTGGAAAATGTAATGATGTTGTTTTGCTATTTTGTTATTTACTTTCTTTAGATAAAAGATCTGATTGCTGTGGGTATCAAGCAAGATAAGAACCCTAAAGACGTAAATGAGAAAACGCAATATATCTTGTATTGTCGGAGATGTGATAATAAAAGATATAAATGGTGATATGAGGTGCAGTTATTCTTTGGACAAAATTGATTTAATACCGTGCTTTCCTCTTCGAAGTCATTCTTTAATTTTCTCAATTTCCCATCTAGCCCTCGCGACATAAACAACACTCCACTCGTCTTTTTTGGCACAGAGAGAAGTTCCTAAAGCAATAATGAAAAAAAAACTAAAGAAGCGTTGACATTCAATGTATTAAACACAGACAATTCCTCCCTGTGTGCGCGAGTACAACGTCTTGTAATGGTGCTCAACCGTTGTAATAGTGACATTAGTGTGTATCAAAAACAAAATAAGGAAGAAATCATTTTTCTTAACCAGTAATTGACCAGGAAATGGGAGATCGAGGTAAGTGTTCAGTCAGTGAGAAGCACTACTTCGAGCAGCGATGGAGCGGCAGTGGTGAGAGCGCTCGCCTCCCCTCAGTGTGGCGTGGGTTCGATGCCGGCCCGGTGCATCTGTAGGTTGAGTTTGTTGTTGGTTCTCGCCTTACTCCGAGGGTTTTTCTCCTGGTTCTCCGGTTTTCCTCCCTCCACAAAAACGAGCATTTAAAAATTCCAGTTCGACCAGGACAGAGAACCCGCGTGAAAACCAGCTAAGGCTGATGTGTCTTCTTCTCTAAATATTGTAATTTATATAAATCGTACAATCGACGTCGCAATTTTCCTGATCCCAGATCATTTGCACGGCAAATCCGTTTATGTTTAACTGTTATTTTACTAAACAGCATTTTTTTTTTAATTGTATTTATTTTTCTACCCACAACTATATCCATTGACACCCTAATACTGTAGGAGAATGAAGCAAACATCAGTTTAGATTACTGTAGATAAGTAACTCAATGGCTGACAATTAGAGTAAATATACATGGGTTGTCGATCAAGTGTGAGGTCAAGATGGCTGGATATTGGCCAGGTTCTTTTTTTGCGTATTTATGGACCGAGAAAGAGTCGAGGTCCATAAACTCGCAAAAAAAGCACGAGGCCAATATCCAGCCATCTTGACCTCAGACTTGGTCAATAAAGGATTTATTAAATGGCTTTCGGGGAAATTTTTCTTGCGGGACACGACGGGTAGTCCCGAGAGGGCAAGATAGCTCCATCTTGCCCGCCAATCACAGCGCAGGATTTGATTCATCTTGCCCGCTCACGGAGCTTGCCATATAATAAACATAGGTTATTGACCAAGCGTGAGGTCAAGATGGCTGGATATTGGCCTCGTTCTTTTTTTGCGTGTTTATGGACCTCGACTTCGTCTCGGTCCATAAAAACGCAAAAAAAGAACTTGGCCAATATCCAGCCATCTTGACCTCACGCTTGGTCAATAACCCATATTTATTGAAACACCTTTCCAGACAAGAAAGGGAATAAAGTCTTACGAGGCGCAGCATTTGATAAAAGCTTTTAATGTGACCCTAATAATAGAGAGTGTGTTAGCCCTATTTTACGGCATTAGTCAGACTTGTGCCTCGTTTCTAAAGGGAGCATTCTTTGCCGTAAATTGAACCCGTTGTTAGCGCATGTTTTCATTATTGAAGAAGAGGAGGAATCACCTTCACTTGGGAAGATCATGGCAAATCCTTGTAAAATTCGTACCAGGGGAAAAAACAAATGAATGAACTCCGGGAGAACGAGTAATGTTGGGAGAACACAGTCCACATGCTTGTTTCTCGACAGCTGTTTCAAGTTCTCCCCTACCATTAAGAATGTTCTTATAACATTCAGAAAACGAGAAAAGGAAAGGAATTTCACTGCTCTATGTTGATTATCAAACTCTACCTATTTCGTCCACAGTTCATACTATCGAATTACGGCGTTACGGTTTTTAACACACTTTCTTTCAAGGTGTTTATTTTAACGTCTCAATATGGAAGTGCATGACATTTCGTGAAATACTTCACGATCTTGTACCCCGGTTGTGTAAGTACAACAGCTTATCAGCTCAGTGAGACATATGGGTATTTACTTTCGATTTTTTGAACCAATAAAATTGCTGAAAAATAGCTTTTTTATAGCAATGACTGGCAACTAATCCAGCTCATTCACGAACTAGAACAGTACTGTCTCGCAACGTTTCAGTGAGTAGACATCCTTTGCTATATAGCTTGAAAGAGGTAAGCTTTACAGTAATAAATATAGAAAATCGCAGTTTTCAATTCTCGTTCTTCAAATTCACATGTAGGGTTAGATATATTGTGATAAATTGTGAACAAGCCATAATTCATGTATCCTAGGTGAAGGAATTTCTTCTTTTCACTCCTGTAACATGGTCCCCACGTTTCCAGATGACCCTATGAAAACGGCTATGTGGACTTAAATAAGGGGAAGGATTTCTAATACTTTGAAATGCAACGAACCAAACGCGTCCCTCATCAGTTTGCTATGTTTTGTCTAATCCAGGTTTCCAAGAAGTCTAAGCCATGTCGCAACAAGCCCTTCTCTTCTTTGTCTTGATTGCAATGACTCAAGCTTCGTTTGGGGTACACGTAAATAATGCCTCAATCATTTTTAACATGTACTCTATCAACAGGTTGTAAGTGTAGGATATCAAAGAAGGCATGTCTCGTCACTGTGTTAGAGTAACTGTCTAAGTTTCTTAGACAATATTTTGTGGAAATGCATATTTGTGAGCTTGTTGTTTGGCGGTGGCGGGAACGAAGGCGACGTCTTATAGCTTGTTCTGTAATGTCTCAAGCCCCGTCTACACTACGTTGGAGAAGTTTGAAAACGTAACAATCATCGGTCATTTTGGATTTATGTTTTAGGACAACTCGGTGAGGGAAATCTCATGATTATCGTGACAAGCTTCGTTTTTGTGACAGATTAGTGTGGACAGTGCGCCTAACCGTAGAAATAAAGCTGCGTTTTGAGATTTCTCTCGCGTATTGTGGACGCCGCCTTAGCATGGCGTTTGAGTGCATACCAGATTACCGAAACAAAAGGTGCTACAGGTTATCAAAACACTGTGAAGAGAAGGATGTCTGCACGCAAAACAGCTTCTCCAGTCATCAAATTAACATCAAGGCTCCCTGTACATGTTGTACAACACGCTCTATAACATAAAACTTTTTCCGTGCTCTTGACACAATCGCAATTGTAACTTTTAGTCTTTTAGTCTTCATTGTGTGTGTACGAACTAAATTTTCATAATGGGCAAATAAAAGTTTGAGGTTTACATAGTATTGTGTTTTTTTGTTTTTTTTTTTGACCGCAGTTCATTGTGGGACAGCTGTCAGGTACCTTGGGTGAACATCGTATTTACCCCAAAAATTCAGGTAATTTTTTTGAAGTTATTCTGCATTTTGTTCCTTGTTTCATTTGCACAGCACTAATTAAGTTCTATTTCGGCAGAAATCAAGGAATTCCAGGCCGACGAAACATTCCAAGGGTTCACTCACGAAAATGGCCGCCTGAAAGTGCAGGAGTGTGGATTGTACTACATCTACGCGCAAGTGTTTTTCGAAATTTACAACAGCGGGCCTACGTACCACAACCGCGTGGCTTTGACGGTAAATGGAGCTCCTTTCAGCTTGATGCAAACGGGACTCGGTGGCAAGGCTGATTACGGCAGTAGGTATACCGGGGGGGTCGTTGAACTGCACAAGGATGATTACATCAGCTTGGTGACCGTCTATGACAGCCGACTGTGGGTGGCACGCCGTCACACATTCTTTGGAGCTTATAGAATCGGTGAATAACTGTAACACTATCAAGGAAATGTGGTTTTCACGCGGTCACACATTTTTTGGAGCTTATAGAATCAGTAAATAACTGTAACGCTATCGAGTGACAAGTCTTTCAAATAATAAAGTAATTAGATGGTGTTACATGATAACACAAATAATGATTAAAGCAAGTTGAACAGTAGGGAAAATTAGACCACTTGTGAGAAGCCTTGCAATTTGAAAAATGTACAATATTCGTTCTGTTAGTAATACGTAATACTCTGTTCGTAAGCCATCGTAGTTTAATTGATTAAAAACATAACACAAAGAGATGTCTTTCTTTTTTTGTTTCTTCTTCTTTTCCTTCTTTCTCTCTTTCTCATATTTGCTTTCTCTCTCTCGTTTTCATTATCTGTAAAATGTGATCTGCGCTCATCTTCACCTCCCTCCCAACTCTTTTAACATTTTTAATGACAACAACGAATTAGTGATAGTATATACACCCACTGTATTTGCCATCCTCTCTTAATCACACAAACCGTCTGCATAGGGTATGCAATTTACATAATGAGAGGAGTTTAAATCGATGTGTTGTACTCCGTAAAATAAAGCAATGCTAAATAACAGCATTGTCACTATCACAAAGACAATAACGAATTTACATCGAGTCAATTTGCGTCGAAACACGATAGGACTCCAAAGTACCAAAGCGCATAGACAGCCGTAAAGTATTCCAGTTATCATGGAATAGTTGTTCACTTGAGGCAGTGTGCCAATGGAAAACAGTGTACACAGGCAGACGATCAACAGAGCGAGCCTGGGTAGGGGATTCTCCATTGTTCGCCAGAGTATCACGTGTTCAACTAGTGCCAGGCCCATAATTCCACCCACAGCGGGACCCGCTCCGGCCTCAGGCCAGTCGTGTCTTGTGAATAAGGAACCAATCTGCAAATCGAGAGAAATTAGACAGCGAGACAACTAGTGGGAACGTGAAAATGTTTTGAACATGAAAAATGTTCTTAAACCTGTTTAGCCGGGGCCTCCATGCATCTCCAAAAGCATTCACTCAATGGTAGTCAAACTTATCATATACATGTGTATAGCATCCATGGTTTTTACTTTAGTGACAATCACGTGTGAAACATGACGTCACAGAGCAACAAAATTACGTCACACGTTATAAAATGTCGGTTATCTTTGATCCGCCATCTTAGATGTGCAATATTTCAAATTAGTGTGGACAGCTATAAATTAATTTAAAAGATCAGGAAAATATCATGATACAAAAGATATAGTGATCAAGAGATGTACAAATTTTGTCATGAAATCCAGATTCGAACTATCACAGAAATTCAAACTAAACAAACCCTAAATTTAGAGCTAGTTAATAAAGGCGACTGGTTATGAAGCCCGCCAAACATCAAAGGAGCAAACAAAGAGGTCAAGATTTATGTTGCACGACCGTGCACAATCTTTTGTTTTGCGCTCATACACTATGCATGAATTACGTAACCAAAACGTTTCTATTGGTTAGTTCGTCGGTACGGAGTAAGCAACTATTGTGTTTTGTGCACGATCAAGGCCAAAAAAACGAACAAAAACATACAACAAAGAACTTTGTCGGGTTTCATTACCATTCCCCTCTACTAACTATGATTTAGCTGAAACACCCTTTGAAAACATGGTTACAATAGAGACGTCGAGCCACTTGACCAAGCAATAGACAATTTTACATTTGTCTGCTCAGTGACCTGGCCTTTTGATGGCAGCGAGGCTGGAGTTGACCTTGTTTTGATACAGAATTCACTGCTTTTGTTGTGTAAAACAAGTTGTTCTGATGCTAACTAGCTAGGTGCATTTACATGACAAAAGCAGTGAGGTCTGCCATCCAAAGGCTAGGTCACTGAGCAGACAACTGTAAAATGGTCTATTGACACTCGAAATTTTTCGTGAAATATTTTCGGAAAAGTTACAGTTTGAGTACTATGACTTGAAAGCAGATTTTGTAACTAAAAATTGAAATCAGCGCGGTAATTTTGTGCCCCCTCTCTAGGCTAATACCGTAAGGGTTAAATACCTTTTGGGATGGAGAGTACCGACCGCTTTAACTGCAACCAGTTTTTGCTTATCTATCAGTGTCCCGTTGACAAGGCTGTGCTTTATTGAGATTAGTGGTTTGGATATCATGAGTTTTCTCGTGTTCTTTATTGGATGGTTTTTTTGAATGGATTACTAAACATAACAAACAAGCCTGTCCTACGTTCTAGCCTTCGAACAGACTCTCCTGTCGAGGATGGAACGAAGAGAAAGCTGGAAGAAAGAGGATCTCGGGCCCCGCGGCCACTTCACCCTATGCCAGTTTCGTCACGGCCCTTAATTCCAGCCACAGTCAGAACCTTCCGGTCGGACCCTGTTCACAGGCTATACGGTCTAACTGAAATAACAAGTCTCGTAAGGCGCACTAAAGACTGAGTCGTAATTGCCGTACCAAGTGTCCGCCCACACCAGCGGTATGATGCACTATTGCCATGCGCAACCATCCAATAGAGTTTTCCTGGCCCCAGTATAACCATATTTGCAAGAAGGTGATCACCAGACAGTCCAGAATTCCTTGGTGCAGATAGATTGACGTCACAAATCGCCACCATTGATGGCATCGTCGAGGAAAAACTTGTGTGACGCAACTGTCGGCTACTGATTGGTCTCCCAGAATGCAAAGTTGCCGTAGACAATCTACCTAAGGGGAAAAATAGAAATTTGTGTGTGGTGTAGAGTAGGGATAGATAATTCCAGAGATTGTGATGATGATGAGAATGATAATGATGATGATGCAGGCTGTTGCTGAAGGTGATGGTGATAGTGGTATTACCAAAGCTATTTTATTGACCACCTCTTTCCGGTATGCACTACCGTTCTAAAAAACCCACTGCCTCCTTTGAGCCCCTAGTTTCTAAAAAGCAGCGTTCTTATTCTCATTATCGTTTCCTAAAACTGTTGGAGTAAGTCTCGCATCATACTTACATAGCGCGTATTTCATTCCTACACTGGTGCACCAAAAGTTATTTAACTCTGTCGTTGGTCCCTACAGTGTGCACGGAGCATGCATCTCATATGCACCCTCCTTCCAAAGCGCTTGATTAACAAAAGGAAGAGGAGTGTACAAATGGCAAAACTAAATGGAGTGCGTTTTGAAAGTGAGTTGCTCCTAACGAACAAGCAATATACGTCTGCTTCCTTAGCTTCTAAAAGCGTGTTGCACGACCATGCAATTGTTTTACCTTAGTTAGCATCGGGCAGGCGAAGAGCCACCCTGCGGATATACTGCCCGAAATGCCATTATTATTATTATTGTTATTATTATTATTATATTACCTTTTTGGTACTCTTCGGCGGCATATTAGGCTAGTTTGGTCGAGCCATGATTCGCATTCGGGCAGACGTATAGCCAAGTCAAAATGGTTTACAAAAGGAGCCAATACCCACCAATACCTAAGTCTGATATGTCATCAAAGTGTACCAAAAAGATACGATTGGGTATTTATCATACCCAGATTTGGCCAGAAATCTTGCCATATCAGGTCATTGACTTGCATGACATCGCAACATGATATCGAAAGATCGCTAGATATCAGGACAGTAGACCCGGCTTATTATGATTGGCTGAGTGTGACTTTGGGTGCGGTTTTATTGGATTACCCTCTTTTACAGCCAGTAGTTTCCGTTCATTACTGTTATAAAGAAATGAACCGTACTTTTTCCATTGATTGACAAAGAGCAAGGATTATCAGTCATCGCAATTCAAATGAGCCTACTGTACCTGTGAGCAATGCTCAGCGTCCATATGAAACCGACCGTTCATGAACCAACAGTGCTGTGGACTGGTCAGCGTACACTGCCCATTGAGCTCCCCACAACAAGGTCGTATGGTATGCTGTATGGCGGACTGCGATGCAGACCGCTGACTACACCGTGTGTTCCTCCATTGAGCAGTCTCATTTGAGAGAACACGACATTCTACCTGTCAGGAAAACAAAATGGTGTATGCATCTAAAACAATGTTCAAAATTTTTAACCATAAACAGCATACTTTAACAACTCTCTGTTTTTTGTTTGTTTGTTTGTTT